AATAACAGCACTTGGGTCTGGTGATTCACCATTCTCCCCCGTCCCTAGAAATAATGGGTATTCTACCAGGCTCCACAGGGACATGAAGATGGTGTTGGCAGCAGAGTAGGCAGGCTACACTTCCACCTTTATGACACTAGCCACCATAATTAAGTCCTAGTCCAGATCTTTATTACCACTAGGGAAAGTATCCACCCCGCCCCCCATGTCAAGCACAGAAGAGAATATGTTGTCTTGTGACCAAGAGTGGATACAGGTCACTGATTGGCTATTGAATATATTGGTCATTGTAGGAGGGATCATTCAACTGGAGGTGCTGATCTGGACAACAAGTCCGAAGGCGCTATGTGTCTGACTTCTATATTATGAGACACATCTGTGCTATAGACCAAAAGATCTACACTATTCATCGAAGTCTGCTGACCACTAAGCGACATCAGCTTGTTGGACATCTCATTAATGGCTATGGTTTTGGAATATGGGGTCCCCACCCTCCACTCTTCTAAGTCTGGGCACACACCTTACAACCATTGTAGGACTTTTGTCTTGCGATGGTTGTAAGGTACTTCAAAAAACGTACGATCTGCCTATCTTGCATAGGCAGATCGTACTTGCGATGATCGCAAGCCACGCCCCGAGGGGCGTGCTTCCGATGACCGCAATGCCGAACGGGCAGTGTGCGCTTGCGCACACCGGCCCGTATGGCTGTTATCGTACGGACATGCCACAAACCCGCCGAACATCGTACGATGCTCAGCGGGTTTTCAAACATGTCCGTAAGTTTAAAGTCGTGCGACCTTACAGTAGTAGAGGTCGCACGGCTTCCACACACCTTACGATCATCTTACGATCGTGGGATTTCCCCCGATTATCGTACGGTGTGTGGGGACCTTAAGACAGCTTTCCACGAGGTTTTGGAAGGCATTTGTGTGGATTTCTGAGGTCAGGTTCTTATGTTGGATAAGAAGAGAAGACCAGACGCACAATCTGCTTTCCAATTCATCCCAAAGGTGTCCAGTAGGGTTGAGGTCAGGGCTCTGCGCAGGACACTCTAGTTCCTCCACACCAGATCTATATGGAGCTGGTTTTGTACTCAGGGGGGCAGTCATGGTGGAACAGAAAAGGGCTTTCCCCATTCACCTGAATGGCTGTCTGCATACTTTTGAACATGCAACGTAGATGCAGTTGGCCCCCAGGAGGCAAAAAAAAGGAACAAGTATGCGTTTCCCGCTCCTTAACATGTTTCTCCCTGTACATTACAGAAGGGATGACATGTTACTAACATGGAGTCAATGCTATTCAGTATTTTGGTAGTGTGTCCACTCACTACAACACATCTATAGTTTAAACCAGCCTCTCTCAACCAGGGATCTGTGGAATCCTAGGGAGGTCCCCCAGAGTTTGTGGGAGGTTCCTTGAAGGTCTCAAATGCCAATGATCTTCCCAACCATCAGTAAGGCCCGGTTCACGCCTGGGCGTTTGGTAGCGTGTTCCTACGCTCTGCAAAACGCTCAAACACCGAAATCCCATTATTTCCTATGGGTATGGTTCCCACCTGGGCATATTACAGGCCGTATGAACGCGCTACAAAACACCCTACGCCCAAAGTACAGGAGCTTCTTTGGGGCGTATTTGCCGCGCGTATCCATTGAGGATACAGCCAGGTAGCCCTCAGAAACGCACGTTTGTTGCGAATCACGCAACACGCATATTCGATACGCCTAGGTGTGAACCCAGCCTAAGGAGCGCATACTTCCCTCTGAACCCCCCTGTGAAGGTGGCATTGCGCTGACCACCACTCTTAGGAGACGCTGCAATTGTCATGCTCTGCATTTATTTTCTAGTCTTTGGTTACATATAACTGAAAATTAGGGATGCACCGATAGCAGTATCAGTGCCAATACCGAGTGTTTGGGAGAGTACTTACTTGCCCAAATGCCTTCCCCGATACCAGAACGTCTGGTCAGAGGAGCATTTCCTCTGACCTGCAGTGCCGTAGGGACACACACACACACGGAGCCAGCTTCCCAGACAATCAGGAAGCCAGATGGCTAGTAATGACCCGTCCCAAGCATGCTGATTTGCCGGGATACCAACTCCATCTTTTGGTCGCCTCAATGCTGATTGGCCGAGAAGCCTGCTTCTCGGCCAATCGGGAAGCGGGTCATTACTTGCCGCCCGGCTTTGATTGACTGGGAAGCCGGTTTCCTGGCCAAACAGGAAGCCGGTCGGCATGTCATTACCCACCTTCTTGATTGCCCGGGAAGCCAGTTCTATGCCAGTGGAAGCACCGGTACGCTATCACAGAGTACCGAAAGCAAAATAATGGTACTCTCGATACCAAAAACCTGATATCAGTGCATCCCTACTGAAAATACATTTGTTGTATAGAGCAGCCTTGGTGACAAATACACCAAAATGTTTTATTATTCACATCCCATTCACAACTGGCGTTTTGAAGCATTCGCTGAAGTGAATCAAAGCTCAATCCCCATTATTTTAAATAGCGCCCATTCGTTTTCTCTGAAAGTACACAAGCTTCATTTGGGGCAGAAGTGCGTTTGAGGGAGAGAGATCTCTATACATCTATAATAAAAATAAAGTCTATGGGGCAATAAATCCTCACACACAATTCTGCTCATGTACTACAAATATGCCAAATAAGAGGCTCTAAAGCACCTGGCTACGCTCGTACTGTGTGAATGGGGCCCTACATGCCGCATTCTACACTAATGTACCCCGAGCTGTATGTTACCAGGGGTGCCCAGAGACCTGAAAGTCATTTCTAGGATACAAACACTGGAGAAAAAATAAAGCTGGTTTAGACAGAAAATTAGACAGAAGCCTTCTTTATTTTTGCATCTCTTGCCGCAGACTAACGTCTATTGCGTCTCTTGTTACAGGCCAAGCTACACAAGGAGTCCGGCCTATGACGCAACCGACGCACTTTGCAATCTTGTGGGGAAGGACTTCCCACATAAAGACTTATTTTGCACTTCCCACTTGCCTGAACCCCCAACCGGTAAAAATGGAGCTTTGGTGAACCCCAACCGGTAAAAACGGAGCTTTGATGAACCCCCGACTGATCTGCAGTCAGCAGGAAGACTCCGGCAGGTTGCACTTTGTGGCGATCACCTCTGACCACACGCACGAGGATATACCCGGCCACAGACTGACGCCCCATTATAAAGAAAGCGAAGGACACGCAAGATCTAAACAATAAAAAAAGTTTAATTTCTTTCCCTTCTTTACACAAAACCAAACTCAATAAAAAATCCCAGGTATGGTAAAACTGAAACATCCCCGTCATGTGTGTGCAGCCAGACGAGAGCAGAGACTAATCAGACCACCACGAAGACGTTCTAGCAGGACCGCAGGGGAGGAGGAGGAGGGGGGGGGGCAGCGTTATCGGCTCTGTTCAACTGCGGAGAGAGAAGAGAAGTCAAATATTCCGCAATGTTCTACAATGTAAATATACCAGACAATGCTTCCTCTGAAAAAAGATTGCAGTGCCTCATGGGACTTGTAGTTCTGTAACAGCTGGAGTGTGAGGTTGCTAACCCCTCCCCCGATTTACACAAAGGTATCACAGAACAATGGATTACTTTCAAGAAGGTCCAGAAGTGCATCAATTGCTGTAATTTTACTGCTGCAGCCTCCTGCATCCCTGAACTTCTAATCAGGGAGCACATACTCAGCCTAATCACTAGCCGCGCTCATCGGGACTACATGTCCCATCATTCCTAGCACCAGCACTCATTTGTGCCCCGCCCGTCATGCATAAGATTTGGCCAATGTAAGAAAGAAGTCTGCACCGAGACACACAGGGGCAGCCTGGACTACATGCAAAAGACACGCCTCTGCTCCTCCCCCAAGTAGTGTGATTGACAGCAGATGCAAAAGACACGCTTCTTCTGCTCCTCCCCCAAGAAGAGTGATTGACAGCAGCTCCCAAGGCATTGTCAATCACTTCCCATGGAGGAGTAGTAAGGGAGCGTCTTGTCCTCTCAGGTTGCCTGTGCAGCAGCACCATCACGTCAGGCTGCAGTCCTCTCCCTGGAAGGCTACAATGGCGCTCCATAAGACCCAGCAAGGCCAAGGAGACACTCGAGGACAGGACAGGCAGGCGGCGGTCATGGGACCACACAGAGGAGAGGCAGCATGACATGTAAGTGTAGACACCGGCAGCTGAAACCTTTACATTTGGGGTTTAATATCACTTTGGATAATAAATGTAACTTACTGTAAGTGGATATGTCTATCTCATCGGGTAACTCGCCCACGTTGACTTCAAATCTGTCTTGGACGTCGTTGAGGATTTTGGCATCTTCCTCGTCGGATACAAACGTTATGGCCAAACCCTTTGTTCCGAATCTTCCAGCGCGAGCCACCTGCACAGAAGACAGAAATCAGTCAGGGCAACAAAACAAGACCCTGGAGTTCAGCCTGAAGGGCTCGGTCACACCATACGCGGTGCGTTCCAGCACTGTAATCGCATCCCGGCCGGCTTCCTCCGTTTAGGGACG